GGGGCCTCCTCTGGACTCTCTCCAGCAGCTCCACGTCCTTGTGCTGCTGTTGCCCAGGGCTGGAGGCAGCTCTGAGGGGGGTCTCAGCTGAGGGGGCAGAGGGGCAGATCCATGGGACGCTGCCTGAATGTCACAGAGGACACTGTGTGTGTTGCAGGGGCTCAGAACTTCGATGTCATCCGGCTCTCCACGTACCGAACCGCCTGCAAGCTGCGCTTCGTGCAGAAACGCTGCAACCGTGAGTCCTGCTCACCCCGGGCTGCAGGCAGGGCTCCTGCATGTCCCACACCCTCACCCCTGCCAGTCCTGGGCGGGCTGGCAGCAAGCACTTTGTCAGGCAGTGGCAGTTGTTACTGTAATGACACAGAGATTAAGTGTGCAGTTGTACTGTGTAAGTGTACAGTGATGCTGTATAATCTCTTGGGGTTTGTTCCTTACTGTTCAGAATATTTAAAATACAAGGGCCAGCATGAGGTGTCTCCTTGCCCTAAGTGCTGGCTGCAGGCAGCTGGAGCTGTTTGAGGTGCTGCTCCACCCTGGGGTACCCCCGAGCAGCTGCCAGCAGGGCACAGGGACAGCCCTGTGGGGAGGTGTCCAGCTCTGTCCCAGTGGCACTCGTGACATGGAGTGACCATAAAGAATTCTGCATGTTCATACCCCACTGCCAGTGTAAGTTTTCTCCTCTTCCCTGGCCCTGTGAGCATGGACAGCTCCCCAGAGCAGAGGTGGATCCCAGGTGAGGGGTGGGACACTGTGTTCTGCCCGTGCCGAGCCGGACGCAGCAAACGCTGAAGGAGCTGAGGTGTGCAGGAGCAGATCCCCCCTCCCAGGCACAGGAGTTGGGCTGTGTGGCACAGGGGAGGCCAGGAGAAGAACTGAGGTGTGCAGGAGCAGATCCCCCCTCCCAGGCACAGGAGTTGGGCTGTGTGGCACAGGGGAGGCCAGGAGAAGAGCTGAGGTGTCCTGGGGAGGACACAGGTCCCTGCCTGTTCCCCCCAGCCCGGGCTGTGTCGCAGGGCTGTGGTGACCACTCGCTGGGTGGATGGCTCGGAGGTTTCCCAGTCCTGGGGAGGAGTGTTGGTTCCTGGCTGTAGCTCATGGCCCAGGATTAAAAATCTCTCCAGCAGCAGAGAGGTGTTAAGAAATGCTGAGTGTAGGACGTTGCACTGGCCCAGTTCAGTGATGCCCATGCCCTGAGCAGCCTTGGCCATCCCTGGATCTGTGGGTGAGGCTGGGCAGTTGGATCTGTGTCTGAGCCAGGGTGGGGGTCACAGCTTGGCTTCTGTCCTTGTGGGGCTTTTATGTGAGAAATAGAGACAAGCTGAATGTGAGAAATGTTCAAGCTCACCCTGAGTTCAAACCCTTTTTTGGGGAGATCCCAGGAGTGGTGAACACACATGTCTGTCCTCTGTAGCTGCTGGATCACGTTCAGCTTGGATTGCTGTTGATCCTTAGATGTCTCCTCTGCTCTCATGCATAACTTAGAGCTTTGAAACATTTCAAAATACTGTTTAATGTGGTTCTGCAGATTTCCCCAAACTGTGGTTTGGGAAATGTTTTCTCCCCGTGGTTAACACTCCTTAGATGTGTGCTTGTATGTGGCAGGGTAATTTGGAAAAATGCTTTGGAGTTCTAGACCTGTGTTATGCTCAGGATTTGGCAACTGGATCAACTGGAAACAGTCACAGTTCAACTGGAACATCAAGTTCCTCCTTCGATACTCTGCTAGTCAGCACGAGGGGGTTCCAAATTACTGTAAACAATTTGTAGTGAATTTGGAATATCATGGAATCATGGAATGTTTGGGGTTTGGCAGCACCTCAAAGCTCATCCAGTCCCACCCCTGCCATGGGCAGGGAC